CCCCCCCCCCCCCCCCGGCTTGGGAGAGCCTGGGGTGCTTCCTGTGGCAGCTCAGTGATCATCACTGGGCTGGTTGTGGGTGTTGGGGGCATGGCTGAGGCCCCTAGTCCTCCCTGCTCCCTGGCTTGGTAGCCCACGGGATTTCTAGTCCTTCTAGGTTTTATAGGTGTTCTTTGGTGATGTGAGACCTTTGTTAGTTAATATCAAACTTTATCTCTGGTCTGTGGGTATTTTTTTTCTTCCAGTTCTGTGTTGGATTATTTGCTGTTCCTACCACTTCAGTTCTGCACTGGAACTAATTTGTTGTCTTTTGTTTACTTCTAAAATGGGGGAACTTCCTGTGAAACTTACTTCTAAATGGGGGACCAGCACTTGAGCTCTGTGGTTGAGCTAAATTGCTGCTTTGCTGCTGATTCCCTGGGGAAGGTTTTTTGTGTGTGTGCAGTTCAGGCTGACTTTATAGGTACTTCTGGTGAGATCTGATACACCTGGTTTGTGTGGAAACTCTGGTCTGTGCCTGAGTCTTTTCAGCAAACTGCACCCCCTGCAGTTCTGTATTCCTGACCAGTCTACACTGAGTGGGCCTGTGCTGATTGTGGGGCAGATCAGCTGTCATTGGTGTGCTCCAGTGCTCTCCTGGTGGGCCTGTCTCCCCCACCACCCACACTCCAAACACTTCCCATGGGACAGTCTGTGCACTGGTCCCTTGCAATGACTCACCAGCCTCTGAGTGGCTCCTTTTATTCAGTTGTTGTGGCTCCTCACTCCTGTGTGGGTCCATAGGAACCCTATTAGTAGTCTTGTTGTCCTGGAGGCCACCAAGGCCCTCTTCTCCCTTGCAGCCTCCAAGCAACTCCATCCGAAGGACACAGCAATGGCTTTTGCCTGCTCCTGCTCCGTGCGTTCATGAGGGCCAGCCTTGAAGCGTCTGGGGGTTGTAACGGTTGGAACAGTTCTTTCTTTCACCGTGGCTTCTCCCACCTTCATGCACTCTGTAGGTCTCTCCTCCTCTTCCCCTGAGCTCTAGTGGCCTCAGCTTAGCTTTTTAATAGTTGTAAATTGGTTGATTTGTGGGAGAGAGTGACACTGAGGACCATCTATTCTGCCATCTTGACTGGAAGCCCCCAGAATTATTCAGATTAAAAAAGAAAAGAATGAAAACAAGGAAAGGAAAATGAGAAGGAGATGATTAAGGCAAGAAAGACAGGAGCAGGTTTACTTAAGTCATACATTTACCACAAAATTTACTGTAAGCTTTTAGCAAAGAGGAAGACCCATCAGTTTCATGATTCACAGTTTTAGTAAGTTTGCAAATTAACAAGTTGACTGTGAAACAAATAACTACTATTAGTTCTAAGAATTTTCAGGTGTTTGTTGGGCATCTTGTACTGTGGGTTTAATAGTGGAATCTTACTTGATCTAATCTAGGAATGGAAACTTAACTTCAACCTTTACTTTTATCCCTTGGCCCTTCCAATATCAATACAACACCTTCAACCTTCATTTATACCTCTGTCTACACTGACACTGAGAATTCTCTTTTGAAGTAAGTTGACTTTGTCTCTGTATAAAGTTTGTCTCCCTGAAGTGGGTTAAGCTGGCATTTCAGGGAGTAAAATAAAGTTTGCCACAGGACCTCCTTCACTATATATCACCAGTGCTGCTTTAAAGGTATGGTTNGAACATCTTTCTACATATACCTTTATATACTCAGGGTAGTATTTCTGTAGTAAATTCCTAGAATTTGATTATGTGCATTTTCATAGTTTGATAACATGAAAGAAAAATTTAATTTAAAAAAGTATTTGCTTGGTTTAGAAATGTCAAATACTGATGGAAAATATACCAACACATTAACAGTGGTTGTCTTTGGAGTGATTGGCTTATGCTTGATTTTTTAAAAAAAACTTTAATACTAAGAAAGGTGGAACTTATTTTAAAAAATTAAATGCTTATGAAACCAATAAAGCTTTAGAAGTTGTAGGATTGTGAGCAATTATAGCTGCCAGATAATACATCTAGCATAATGCAAAACATGAAACAAGTTAAAAGGTATGTTTGTAGAAGTAAGTTGATTGATTCATGGAGTGAAACAGAGATAACTTATTACCATTTCTTTTTCAGGGTTTTTTGATTAACTCAAAACCAGAGAATGCCTGTGAACCCATAGTGCCTCCACCACTAAAAGACAATTCATCTGGCACTTTCATAGTGTTAATTAGAAGACTTGATTGCAATTTTGATATAAAGGTACTGTTGTCCTTTTTCATTTTGTTTATTGTTTGTTTAGATTTAAATTTAAATTCACTCTTATTTCAGAAAATATTTAAGGCAGTTTGCAGAATTATTCACATTATTATTGTTTTGGTTATATATATTTTATTCATTAATATTTTTTTTTACATTCTATGATGTTCTGGAGCAGTTGGGGGGAGCAGAAGAGGGGACAGGGGAAGGAAATAGGGTGGGAGAAGGAGAAAGGAAGAGGGGCAGGGTTGAGGCCTGTGGTACTCCCCTCATTCCTGCAGGGGAGATCAGGGTGCTCCCAGTGGTGTCTTGGTCATTGCTGGGCTGGTTGTGGGTGTTGGGAGGGTGTGGCTGAGGCCCTTACCCCCCCCCCCCCCCCCCCCCC